TGTCCCTCTTTTCTTTCAACAAATATGCACAATCGTAAGTATCTTTCCGTTAATTTACGCTTCATGGAACTGCGCCAACGATGTTTAGAAATCGTGAAATACTTGAAGACCTCTTTCACTATATTATCGATTTGTCAAAGAAAATTGCACTGATCAAATATTTCCAGAACGGCTCTCAGTAGAATGTCGCTATATAAGCTCAATTTGCAAATTAGGATCAGTTGAATTAGTTACATTCTCAGCTGATATCGCATTGTTTTTTTTTTTTGTTTTTTTTTTTACCTTGTGCCACCAGACTGAGGTTTCTAAAGAATCGGCGATATTATTGGTCCTGACCGTGCGACCCACAGTTTAAGTCACTTTCGCAGTGTCGTAATGTAACTTCTCTGTGCCTTTTCTATAAATACTTGCTCGGGTGAACTCTTAACTATGCTACCTCAACTTTATCAATAGTACTACAGTGTGCCCCCCCCCCACAAAAAATTAGGAAATTTGGCACAGTTTATTTAATTGTTGGAATTTTTGTTAGTTATTTGAAACAAAAGCAAATGATAGAAATTTTTGAATACAAGTGCAAACATATGTAAATTGTATTAATTGAACTAAAGAACTTTGGCAAAATTTCTTGCCATTTTTTCAGTTTCTAAGTTGAATGTTCTTTCTTAAAGAGAGCAATCATCTCGCGTTGAAAATTTGATAACTGAGCCATCCTAGAACAAATGGTTAAAAAAAATTGTTGGTTATTTTTGTTTTTAGTTCATTCATATAGTAAAATATATACTTGATCTTTTTATGTGAATTTTTTTTCATCATATAGTAAATCTAAAATTTCCTGTTTTGTGGGGCACCTTATAAATTGGCGTCAAGGCCTGACCACTTCGGTTGAACTGACTAGATGTAACCGTAAATTCTAGACTAAACGCTTTCCAGCCAATTTTGATCTTTAAAAAATTTTAATTCAATGTCAATCGTTATCTACTGTCCTCCTGATTACTCTTCTATTGTTGTCGCTCCTTAAAAATTTTTTTCTTATTCTTTCACACTCAGTAACCTCTTGTGCATTAGTGGTTCTACTGCCTTGCATGGGGTGAGATGATTAATAAAAAAACCAAAAAACTGTCTACAAATTCGTACAGGCTGGCAAATAAGAAAGACCGGTGTAGCTAACTGTAGGTGCAAGGTAAGAGGGATCAGTATTCTTTGAAGAATCCCAAATCCGTGATGGCACCAGCCTTAACTTGACGGTGAACACATTTCGCAAGCTGTTGATGGTACTTTTGATCCTGAAGTGGGGTCTTTTTGTAGACTTTTGGTCAAATTTTTGCTCATTTGTTTCATTGAGACTTTTCGTACTAACTAATAAATTGTTGAAGGGCATGAAACCAATCAGATATAGTTTAATAGCTGAACAGACTGCACCCTTTATGCTTTGTTAGCAATCAGTATAGAAGAAAACTTTGAAATGGAAACGCTAACAAACTTGTCTGTGGGAAGACTTTGATAAGTGACTCATATCCTTATTTACAAAGCTTATTTTAGTTATTTTTGGTAATGTTAATATATGCCGTTTCCTTATAAGGAAACAGTTGACATTCATAGACTGAGTAGCCAGTTCTGTTGTCGGTTGAAATTTTATAAAATCTGTCTCTTAAAACAATTTCCAAGAAAATGTTTCTCAAGTCTAGTAGCTGTTATCGATGTTTCCAATATTGATGGAAGGGGGGGCTTCCTTTCTAACCTTTTATCTGATCTAGTATTGAATGTCAAAATTCCATTTTAATTGTTGCTTCTGTTGGAAATCATCAAATGATGTGGTTTCTGTTATTTGTTACAGTTCTTTGGGGTTCTGTAGTGAAAGTTCACTGTGTTTTGAAGAAGGATGATCTTTTGCCAAGACCCTCAGATTCCACAGGCTCAAAACCTATTTTAACTATTGGTCTTAGAAAGTGATTGCATTCGGCTGACAGTTGAGATATTTCTGAACGGGTATGGCGCCTCGCATGATAGCCATATGAAAGTTTCGATCTGATCTGAAAAAGAATTGATAACTGAGCCATCCTAGAACAACAAATGGTTAAAAAAAAATGTATGTTGGTTATTTTTGTTTTTAGTTCATTTATATAGTAAAATATATTATCATTTAGGAACATGACTCAAGTTTTCAGGCTAATGTGTGTGTGTGTTTTTTTTTTTTTTTTTTTTTTTAAACGACCTCTAAAGCAGCCTCTTTCCTGTTCAATTTCCTTTCTCTTCTACTATATTTTGTTATAACTGATCCATACGCCGAGGTATTTGAAATGTTTAGTATTTATTAATTCCAACTCCTTAATGATGAATTAGGGTTCGATGTCATTACTGCTTTCATCTTTTTTTTTTTCAGATGATTTTCTCTTTTGGAAATCTTTATTTTTTGACACCCTTTTTTTTAAACACTTTATAGAGGATGTTGATTTTATATTCTAAGTAATTCTCATTTGAACTATGAATAGCCATGTCAAAA